AAAAAAAAAAAAAAAAAAAAAAAAAAAAAATCAAAAAACTATCAAAATCGTCAAGAATAAACAATACAAAAAAGAAGTATCTTTTTCTTTTAGTGTCTTCTCTTTTCCTTTCCTCTTTCGTTACAACAAATCAATGCTGAGTGACAAAAAGGTAAAAACTATGACCTTTAACTGTGTTATCACCAACCATAATCATTTTACTACCTTCCGATTTCGGTTTGAAGTTTACATCCCTACAACGTTTTTGTTCCAATAAAACATAAAACAGAAAAAAAAAACAGTGGCCAAAGATTATTTGAAACTTTTTCATGAATCTACTCTCGAGCTTCCCATTCCAAGACAATAAGCGTTTAACAACAATAATACCAATAATTCTAAAGACAAATGCAAGTAAAGAATAACAATCTACCCATTAAAAAATTTCACACTTTTTTGTTCTCAATCAATTGAAAAGATAAAATGTTCAATTAAAAATATTGCTTGTTTATTTTTTGCAACAAATCATAGGTGACAACACGTTTGAGATTTATAGGCAGTTGGCAGCCAACCAAGTACAATAATGATACTGTATATATCGATGTTGTCAGACTGTTTTTGTGAATAACGAGCCATATGTATATCATTGACAGTGTACTCTGAAGGACAACGACAACGACAACGAAGACGATGATTATGATGGTGATGGTGATTGTGATGACTGCGGTTATGCTACTGCTGCTGCTGCTTTTAGTGGCAGTGATTCGGATTAGACAGTGCTGATGCTGGTGGTTGTTGTCATTGTCGTTGTTGTTGTTGGAAGACAGCTGTTACAAACCGGGTACTTGTTATATAAATAGACAGGACATAACGCACATACACCCAGAATCTTAGCCTTTTTGTCCTTGAAATACTAAACTTGTCACTAACGCAAATTATATTTTGTTATTTATGACCATAGCTCAAGCAGAAGCAAAAAAAAAAGCTGTCCTTATCCAAATTTTAGACACTATCTGTTTTCTTCATTTTTTTTCTTATTCTGTCACAAAGGGTTAGAAACAATCTGAATAACAATAACAAAAAAAAACCCATAATTTCAGAACAAAGAATATTCTAGGATTTTACTGTAGGAGATGAAGTGGAAAAAATTGATGTTTCGACATTGGTTGTTACCAGTCTGATGATCCAAGCGGAGAGGAAAAAATGGAACAAGAAACAAAGGGGGGAAGTGGCTAATTAAAAAGGTTATTCTTCAAAAGACCATAAAAACTGTTTAGCATAAATGTTTGCTCGTACACTATAAACTACCTCAAATTCTCCTATCAATTTCCAATACATAACGGTGACAGTTAACTGTCTTCTCTATCTTCGCTGAAGAAGATAAGAGAGAAAAAAAGGAAGGAAGAAACGACTTCAAATTGCAATTAGAATTGGTTGGCTTAAGTTCAACAGCACTTTTTTCTTCTCTTCATTATTCTTTTCAGAAAAAAAAAAAAAAGTGAAAGATGGGGTTAAGATCAAAAAATGGGAGTGCTAAAAAACAACAAAAAAAGAAAGAATAAAAAAAAATGAAGATAAAATTGAAAGTGATAAATGCTTAGATGGATTTTGAAAAGGAAAACCGCAAAAATAATGCGGCAGCTGTCATTAAACTATTCAACAAATCACCGTAAAATAACTGTGGAGACAAAAAACATTCAAAAAACCTTCAATTTCCAAAATGTATTTGAACCAAAAATGTTGGGTATATATTATTTACAAGGAACTTTAACAGCAACAACAACAACAGATGTTCACACCAGTCGGCGGTAATATTTTTCTTTTTTTAAAAAAAAAATAAAAAAACTACTTTTTTCTATTCTAATTCCACAACAGAAAAAAAAACAATTTGTTCAAGCAAAAATTCTAATTCATAAAAGTTTTTCATTCCTTTTTCCTCTTTTTCTTTTTCATACCCTCTTCATGTACCATCTATTAATCAGAGACACGTTTAAAACCTTCAAATAAACTTAAAAATTTCATTTAAGACTATCTTTCGGTTACCATCAATGCTTAACAGCGATTTAACACATTTTTAATGTCAACAATATTTCTCATAACACTCTATTGGAATGCTTCAAATCGATTAGACTGATGATGGAAATGATATATGATGTTGCAGAAAAAATAACCGTTTCAATTGCATTCAAAACAAGAAAAACCTTCTTACCCCTCATCCTCGGTTTCCCGTAATGCGCACAATGATATACAATATATTTGTATCTGAAAACTTCATCAACTGTACCATCGGCATTCCTTAATTGTTCAGAGCTCGCAACTCGGAAAGGATGCAGATACGTATCTTTCCATACATTGAACACTGCTTCAAATTCATCAAAACTAAAACATCAATCTTATAAACCTTATCAACTTAAAACCTTTTCAAATATTAGTTGTTCAAATCTGAACAGATAAAATGATAATCTGGCAACCTTCTAAATGAAGCATTAGCGGCAATAATCCCGTCATTGACATCTATTTTGAGATTCTGAAACGTATGGCTGCTAGCACTGGGTTCCAATTTACAAACATCTAGCAGTCCTGATTGCGTTTCATTATTCACTAAATTTCATAATCGGTATTAAGGAGAAACAATAAAAGAAGGAAATTACTGTTTTACTTTTGTAAGGTTCAAATATGAAAAAAACCTCTCAAACCTTTCCCATCTTCCAAACGAGCGTTTTCAGGGGAATGCACCGGACTGGAATTCACGCTACTTGGGGTTTGGGATGCAGAATCGGTGTCTGGAGAATGTTGCGAAGAATCTATTTGGATCGAGCATCCCAACCTCTGCAAATCCAATAAGGACAAATTTATGTAGTAGTCGAAAGAAATCTTAGCTACTTAACCTTTTAAAATATGTAACAGTTCAGAAAGGCGTTACCGTTTGAACGGCAGAACTCTTCGACGTGGGCAAATAATTTAAATTTTCAGCTCCAGATGAATCAATCGGTGACTGTTTTGAGCTATCCTGAAGGTTACTCAACTATTTGTACCGTACTTCTTCTTCGTAATAAAAAAAAGATAGAAAAATATCTAGATGCAAATAAAAGACTAAAAAAAAAATTTATACGGAGTGGGAATCTGTATCCGTCGGAGATAAATCCATCGTCTCTTCTCTCCTAGCTTCTGAATCCGCATCATTAGGTTTCTGAGCTGACCATGGGTCGGATTCTTCTTTAATTTCAGACTGTATGTTTGGAGTAACATTTTGAAACATCGAAACAAATGATTTCATGCTCTGCACTTGTGCCATAAACTGTATCCTGGCCTGGTCAACAATCTCCTTTAGCTCTTCAGCCATAAAATTTTTCAACGGTTATAGAGACGAATCCTACTTTTAATCCTTATTTATATTTTTACAGAAACCCCGTAGAAAAATTATCTGAAAAATAGAACCGTAAGTTTTAGAAAAGTATGAATGAATATAAATACGAAAAAAAGAAACTGCGGTAATGCGTCCTCAAGAATCACGAACAAAATCGTTGATGACAGCGAAATACCCCCTAATTGTTAAAAAAAAATTCTGTAATCGCCAACTGCGTTGATTTATGATTTTAACTATAACTTTTCTTCGAAAAAAAAAAAAACATTTGCTACCGTCGAGAACAACAAACTTGACAACACTGAACGATAATAAATTTTAATAATTAATTAGGCGCTCCTCAACGACCACCTCAAATTATTTTTTAACAAATTAACACCCAGTAAAGCGAAGGTAACACAAAAAGAAACAGAAATTCGCCACAGCTTTTCCCCTCTACAAAGTAAGGAAAAGTTAAAAACGAAGAAATAATACAAACCAGATAAAGTAATGAAAAACTAGTTTTTTATAGTCACTCTGATATAAAAATCAAACAGCGACAACATCAAATAAACTGTCTAAGAAAAAAATTTGTTTTTTACGCTAAAACTTTTCCACTGTGTTGAGGTCACCTTTTTTTGCCTTTCCCACCCTGTAAAATGTCTACATCTAACTATTTAATTAAGACTAAACCAAATTAATTAACTCTGATACAAAGTTAACAATTAAAATGATGCCACTAGCACTAGTCCATACAAATCGCTACTGTCACTGAATGTTGTAGCATAGTTTAACATCTCTCCTGCAGTAACTGATTTGCCAATTCACGGTTATTAAAGCAAAAAGTACAACTGGCTGGCTACCTAGCAATTATCTCAGTTACCTCAGTCTATATATAACAGTTGAATGTATAAACAAAGATCAAAAAAACCAATTAAATTGGTGTCAGAGGAAACATGAAGAGAAAGAGAGAGGAAGAGAAAAAAAAGAGCAACCATCTGTAGACAACCTATATCCTAAGACTGAACACTAAAAATGCAGACAGTATCGTTGATCAATACAACAAATCAGTTTATCAACAATCAATATTCCCCTAAAAGCCAAGTGAACAGAACTGAAGCAGATAAGTGCCAACAGTGGCGGCTTAGGTCAACATAATGGAATGCGAAGCCCGGGGTATGATATCGAGACGGGGTTGCAGGGCGACAATGAACCTGTGGTCCAACAATCTGTACAAATATTTATCAGAAGAGGAGCAGAGAAAACAGGTAGGCTGTGTGACCACAAAATTACTAGAAAAAAAATCACAATAGGAAATTTCGCGCCGATATAAATCTGAAAAAACTGAAAGACTGCGTGTTGCAAAATTTACTTGACACCTTCTTATCAAAAACCGCAATCAACAATACGTTTTTTTTTCCTTCACTAATTTTCAATCATTTTTTTTCCATATAACATTTTCATACAGAAATACCAGAATTTTTTTTTCCAGCGTAAATTCTAGACTGGCTCCTTTTACTGACCACAACTGTTATCACAGTACAGTAAGCAATGTCGAATTACAAACAAGAATT